GGGAGATGCAGCCTGCGCTCAACCATCCAACTGTTGCGACCGACCTGCTGCTTTGCAAGCTCGGTCAGCACCTTACTTCATCAAAGAAATGCTCTTGGCTAATACAGGGTGATGTTTTCCAGAAATGGCATGGTCAGGCAAGATGTTTTGCTTGGCATAACCTAGCCTCGGTGCATTCTCTGCGGAGTTTTGAGTGGAAGAAGCCAACTTGGATGAGTCTGGAGCTAAGCTGGGTTTAGCCACGCCACAAAGTCCAAAAGCAGTGAGCAAACAGTGTGAGGATGCTCAGCATCCCCTCCTGCCAGCCCCACTTGCAGACACCTCTCCAGGTAAAAGCTATGCTCCGTTTCTCATGATGCAGCAGAACCAGAAATATCCCAGCTGCGGGAGGCATGCTTCCAGGATCCCCTTTATGCAAAGACTTTAAGGCAATTTGCAGTCTCATGCCTATTTGGGGCTACCACCTTCAGTGCATTAATTTTACATACGGGCAAAGTGAGTCGTTTTTCCTCTCTCCCTCAACCGCAGCCAGACTTGTTGGCAGATCTGGGATGTGGAGCCTGTGCTGCCTTCCCTCCCCACTGCAGCTGGTTGCATTTGAAATTTCAAGTGAGCGCTAGAGCTTTCTCTCAGCCTGATAGTGCAGGTTCGTGTGTCTCAGCCCCTTCTTCAAGGAACTAAAGAGAACTCAAACACACCTTTCTAACCACAGCGAAGTTCAGGATTTACTAAGGACAAAGCATTTGGTTTGCTCAAAAATACGAATAGCCATTTACTTGAGGGCTGTAATTCATGGGGAACCCCATCAACCCCCAGCCCCAATCACTCTGTCTCAGGCTGGTTTGGGTTGAGCCCCTCTGCTAGCACACCGCAGCCGCTCCCCGATCCCTGCAGGGCTCGAAGGGGCAGCACCGGCATCCCGCTATGACGCTCCCCGCCTGCCCTGGCCGTGCCTCGCTGCGGGCTCGGCTCCGGCGGAGCAACAGCGGCCTCCAGTGCCGAAACATCCCTTTCGCCATCCCTCACCCCGCGTCCCGCTGCCCGGGGAGCCGCATCGCACCTCCCGCCAGCCCGCAGCCCCACGGATGCCAGCAGCAAAGATCACTAGAGATAAAAACTGGTTTTTGCTTGGAAAAACGGAGCCTTTTTGGTTTACCGATGCACCGGGTAGCTGTGACCTGAATAATGAGTCTGAGGCTGGTGGTTCCCTGGTGTACGGGCACCATGTGATGAGCTGGTGTATGGACAAGGCTGGAGACAGGTTGGCATGGAGGTGACTTGTTGGACTCTTCCTCCTGGCAAAAGCTGTGGAGTAAGGGTTTTGATGCCCTATATTTAACAAACGGAATTGCAAGTCATGAGAATGCTAAAATCTCGTATTGCTTGGGTGCTGGAAAGGAAATAAAAATTCTTGATGCAAAAGAGAGCCTCTTTATTACGCTGGAGCCTGGCTCTCAGCTTGGGCATGTCTTAGCCTTGTCCCTGGGGCTCCACCAGTAATTTTCTCTCAGATCCTATGGACATTACCAAAACAAACTGTATTTTTTAGGAAGGCAGTTTAAATGACAGGGAAAAGGGGGCTGTTGTGTGTGTAAGAAATCCCAGTGAAAGACATGGCAATGCTCCCATTTTATTAGGAGTTTGTATAGGTGAGGGACAGCTTTGTGCTATCTTCTCTGGAACAGATGTACCTTTTAGTTTTGAATGGAGTTGGAGCGTGGAGAGGGTTTCTGGCACATTCCCCTGTTCTTTATGTGCACATTAGTGTTTCTTTGCCTGAAAGAGACATAAAAACATGCTAGAGGATGCCTTCAGGTCCCTGATACACAGAAGACCCTGGATTGGAGAACAAGGAAAGAAAGAGAGAAAGGAAGGAAAATAATGCTTAAATCATCCTTTAAGTGTTATTCACAGTAAGGCCACATATTCTTGACAGAGTTCAGGGTTACTACAGACATGTGTTAATTGGCTCAAATAAGCTCAAGAGGTGGTGATTTCTGACACCTCCTAGCAGAATAATACACCTCTGTGCTGTAGGACAGCACTAAGACACCTGTAATCCCTGTCTGGATGCAGATGATAAATATTATGGCTTTGTTTTGTAGGTTTTTGCAGGCAAATGCCTGCCATTGTGTCTTGCTTGGAATTGGGCCTCTCCCAGCCTCCCCTCCCAATTGCCTCCACAGCAAAAGCGAGGCAAATACTAAAAGGATACCTGCAAAAAATTACTGTTATTTTTTACCCTGTAGTGAACTTAATTACTCTGAATTGTTCCATTTTCACGTGGAATCATGATGTTCTCTTCCTTGGAAAGACAAACCCATTTCTCAGGTGCACACAGAAATGCTGGTTTGATGACTTTCAAGCTGTTTTATGTTTTGCAAAAAGCATTTTGCACGCTGGTCACAGTGACCAAAGGCGATAAGTGAGATGCTGGTGCTGCAGGGACCAGCCAGATGCTCTCTCAGTAGTAATTCCCAGACTCCTTGCAGGCCTCCAGCTCTTGTCAGACCGGTTACACACACAGAACTGCAAATGACACTTCATCTGCCTCTCGGCTGCCCGACTTTTCCCCATGGACTAAAGCTTTATAGATGAGGATGCTCCATTTATCTCTCCCCTGAGACATTTGGCACTAGGCAGGTTCAGACTCCAGCTGCCTGGCCCAGATTGCCCTGACCAGGAGACCAAATGGCTGTTGTTCCTAATCCCAAAACTTCTTTGCTTGGGAATGCTATATGGGAGCTGCAAAGTTCAGGGATTTGACCTGTGAGAGCACAGTTCTAGTTTCACCTCCTTAGAGCTTGCTCAAATGGGAGTTTGAAGAAGTCCAGGGATGAAGCGCTTGTCAATGCAAAGCGGGTGTCAGCACCAGCTTCTTGTCCACCCCTTCCCTCCTGACTCTTGGCTAGCTCTGGGTACACCACCGGCTCAGTCTTTTTCTTTCTATAATCCAAACTTTCCTTCTTGTTACCACCTCTGGCTCGTACCAGGGAGTGATGTAGCATACTCAGTGCCACTTTGCTCCCTGTGTAAGCTGGCTTTAAAGCCTTCCTCTGTCTCTTTACCCCACTCTTGGTTCATGGCCAAAGCCCTAATGATGTTGTGTCTGACAAACCTCCCACCCCCATCTGTTGCACAATATAGCCGGCAGCTGGTGCTGGGCTGCTGGCTTCCAGCATGGTCATTACCACCCTGCCATGCGCACTGGGTCATTAACCATGGCGCCTTTGTTCAGGAGATCCCACTCAGCATGTCTCTGCCTGACTGCATCGTCTGTAAATGCAAACCCAGCATTTGAACAGGCCAGAAGCAGAATACGGGGCAGCAGCCTGGCTTAATGAAAGGAAGAGGAGACAACCGGACCAACAATTTTTATCCAAGCTTTTTTTTTTTCCTGGTGATCTGGACTCTGTTCTTGTTACTGTAGAGCTGCTCCTAAAAGCAGAATTTGGCTTCACAAGCCCACTCATCCAGGGATAGAAAAACTGGAATTTGAGCTTCTGTTAGAAATGTCTCTGCTGATGGCAGATGGGTGTGTGAGCCTGATCACCAAGAATCCCTGACTCCATCAGGTAAAGTCAAGGGTGAAGCCCCCTTAGCTCCACAGACTGGCGCAGCTGGCTAGATAAGACTCAATCTTCCCAACAGAGATTTTTGAACCACCTAATAGCATTGAGCTGGAAGTAATTCCTTCATTTGTCTGACACAGAGCACTTCCAATGCATAAATATACTCAAAATTAGCTAGCGCCCAAGCCAGATTAAACGAATCGAGTCTTGCCAGAGACATTGCTAACATTTGGACCTGGCCTTCTGCTAAAACAGTGCAATCTGGCACCAGCACAGATTAAATATAAGACTCATTCTTAAAAATACCCAAATTGTATCCTTTCATATGTAGAGAAGAACAGAAAGCAGAGCTCAGCTATAAATTATCAGGGTAAAAAACCATAGTTTTTTCCTCAGCCATCACGCATTTGAGGTCACTTGGAAAAACATTTCTCTGCCTGCACACTTGATCTGGGCAGGCTTTGAGAACTTTGCTATTTGAGTTTCTGGGCACCGGCCAGTGCAGTCTGAGCAATCACTGCAGTTTGGCAGCTGCAGGTGAGGGGAGATTTTGGCCGTGTGATCCCTGCTTGTGGGCAGCTTGTGTGGGACCTATTTCACAGGCAGAGTCCATGTGCTTGGAGCAGCGGGTGCAACATCCGCGCAGGAGGCCAGATCCATGCCAGATGTGCTGGGCTCTCTGCCCATGCTCCACCCAGCTGCATGCAAACAGCTTGCTTTCTAGGAAATCCCAGACATATGTAGTAGCCCTCATCTGTGTGGTATTTAGATGTGCAGGAGGTGCAGGTACTCACAGGTTCTGAAAGCACAACATACACTCGTTGTCATATAGGAGGTTGTCTGTGCCGCAGACAGGGTCAAAGATCTTTGTGCAACCTTTCCCTAGGGAATAATTGCCACAAGCTGCCTGGAGACACAAAAGGGTAATGCTGGAAATATTAAACATGCTTTCAATTTATCAAAGGTCATTTGCATTCACGTATTTTGTATATCTTGATAACCCATCACAACTTGCCCAGAGCTCTGTAATGAGCTCTCTAAACTACTGTGACTGCCTGTCACCAGTCCCTTGCCCAGCTGAGCTCCACCAGGCACTGCTGCACACCCTTAGGAGTAACAATATTGAGTAAGTAATGCTCCATGGGCAGTGCCTGATCATGTTCTTCACAGTTTTCATTTTTATGCCACAACAATACCTGCCCTCGCACTTGCAACCCAGAGAGAAAGGGGAGTTCTGATCTTCATTGCAGATAACAGCAATATTCAGTTCTTCAGTAACAGTTTTTTCCACCGAGTGGGAGGAAATGCAGTGGGAAACCAGTGCTTTCTCTGGGATTTTGCTGTGGCGCAGCAGGTGGAAAGAAGTTCCCAGGCACTGGCATCTCTGGGCTCCCAACCCAGCAGTTCATTCTACTATAGCAAGCTCCCCAGTGCATGGGTTAGTGCTGTCTCACTAAAGCTGGGCATACCCTTGTGCTACTCAAAAGTAGGAGCCTTCACCTCTGTTCCTTTGCCAGCAGCTCCATCCATCTCAGCATTTCCTGATGAAAGAGTGGAGAGAGAAGACTACTTAACACTCATCACTCAGACTGGTTTCAAGGTGGACCTGGTAAAGATGCTTTAGGCTGAAGACTGTATGTCTTCACTCAAACACCTTTGTCCCAGCAAACCATTTCTTCCCTTGGATCTCCCCTAGTTTGCAGCATGGTCCCTCCCTGCTGCATCTGTCTCTTTCCCCTAGCAGAAACACTGTGATGGTGCAAGGCCAGATGCACTTCTAGTAACTTTCTCTTCCAGCAGTCAGGGAGCAAAGGTGGATTTTGTTATCTCTTATCACATGTTCATGGGTCCTGCTGGTGCTGGAGTTAATCCAGGGTGATTTTTCTGGTGTCAGTGGGTTTGTACCAGAAGGAAACAGAGCAAAAGATAAATTGTAGAAGGAGAAATAGTTGGACCCTGAGGTCTCGCACCTCAGAGAGCAAGCTGGGACTTCGGGTTGCTTATAGATCCAGAATTCAGCTACATGGGGGATTTAGACTACATCTATATTAACAACCAGTGTGGCCCAATAGCAGTGGGTCTGTAGAGTGTAACATTTTGATGCTGAGGACCCAATAGCCACACTTTTAATGCTTCAGAGATTTTACTTTGGACTAGCACTGGTCCGGACCCAGGAGCTGTAGTGCACTACATGCTCAGTTCAACTGAAATGAGTCCAGATTTTGTGCTGAGACAGCTCTGCATCAAGGATGATGGAGGACTTGTTTCAGAAGCACCCTCCTCCTCCGAATGAACCCACTAACGCAGAAATGCCTGGTGAGCAAGACCTGAAGAGCAGCAGCAGCTCATGTTCTTATCCCTCTGCACCATACGGGATTTTGAAAACACAGTTGGCTTAAACGATGACTTTGGTAGCGAGAGCTGCATTTTCCCTTGCACAGATGCGTTTCCTGTCTTCTTGGATTTGCTTTTTTAAAACCAGAATAGCACCTATTCACTCCAAAAGAACCACACTGTCCTAGAAATCACCAGCTCCAGGCCGAGTACTAGCCCTGAAGGAAGAGAGTCAG